TTTTATTGTTTCAGAACATCGAACAAACAAACTAAACACTGAAAACACTTCGTTTCACGACGAGGAAAATGTCCCTAAACACAACTGTAACTCTAAAGCTTCAAATTAGATATGGAGACAAAATATCTAAAAATAGTAAAAACAAAAACACTTGAAACTTCAAAACAATTGTTGATATAGTAAAAATCAAATTTAAGGTCATACTGATTTCTGGAACAGATTTATGTAACTTGAGAAATTCCCCTTCTGTCTCCTACAAACACACCATTTCACAAACATGGCGAATTATCTGTTGCTCTTGTTGCCATGACAACCGTGTTGACAAATTAAGCTGTTACTATGTTATACATAGTCATGCAGATACAGACTTAATTTTTTTTCAATAGTTGCATTTGAATAAGAACATAAAGGCCGTCACATTAATTCTGAATCAATAAAATATTATATTTCCTCCACTAAACATAAAACATAATTTCTGAATTCTGGTGCGACTCTAGAGTTTATCTATATTAGTTCTGTAGAACCAATCATAATGCGTGTCCACCTCTGTTCACAGAAACATGGCATTGTGAGCATTATTGGAGAATCTGACACATGGTGTAGCTATCGATCGCTGTTTAGAAAGGTACGCTGCTTCGGCTTTCCAGAAATGAACATTTCTTCAGAAGCCGCGCGATCGGTTGGGACAAACAGATATAGGAGGTGATACACGTAAGTTCAGTGCTTGAAATCTTTGTCTTCAAATTATATACAACCTTTGAACTCCAAAATGTAGAAAAAAAAAAAGAAGCTTTCCTAATAGGACTCAACAGGAAGACTGCAAAAGTCAAGGGTTTGTTAATCGAACTTGTTGTTCTGCTGAGGTGATCTTGAAAGGGGTGGACTAAACCAGAATTTGAGGTCTTCAGCTGTAATCTTTTTTTTGAATTTCAAAAGAAAAACATTATGGAGGGCACTCGTGTTGGTAAGTAAGTCAGTGAAAATTTTTTCTAATTTATGAACAAAGCTTCATGATTTTAGCTTTCTGTTCTCTCCAGTAGTACCACCAAACAGCAGTACGAAAAGTATCAACTAAAATCAATAAAAGTAAATTTTTGAAAACTGAATCGATACGAGTTTACTTAGAAAAGGGCGAATTCTGACTATTAAAAGTTTCGTTTGTTGTTCTTCATAGGTGTTAATTACCTAAAATAAATGCACCCAGAAAGCTAGGAACAACAAAAGCCCTTAAAACTTCAGTTCAGTTTATTTAAAAAGTTATCTTTTTGACTGTTATACAACAAGCAGCACTGTCTGATATCTATGTTAGTTTTGTGACTATTATATCGGTAAACAACGAGTACTACTGTGTGATACATATATCAGTTTAATGACTGTTATATCTATAAACAACGAGTAGTACTGTCTGATATCTATATTAAACCACATCTTATGTTGTAAGAGTGAACTATGTTATACCACATCTTATGTTGTCAGATTTAATTGTGTTATACCACATCTTATGTTGTCAAAGGGAACTATGCTATACCACATCTTATGTTGTAAGAGTGAACTATGTTATACCACATCTTATGTTGTCAGATTTAATTGTGTTATATTATTTTAAAACTCGAAGAATTTGAAACATTGACGTCATCTGTAATTATATAAGTTGTCTCTGTTTTATGTTAAATGTCATTACGTAAAGGTCTATATGGAGAAATACGTTTGGAACTTGCTAGCATATTTTTATTTGTTGTACAGCTAGTGTACTTTTTCTGTGATTTAACTTTAATAGATTATTATTGTACTTGAACATAAGTAAAGATTCTTCTAGCTGTGTGTCAAACTGGTTTGTCTACTGGTTCTTGCCAAGCTACACATTTTCTTTTGAATTGGTTTGTCTTGTATTTCTTGCCAAGCGATATATTTTCTCTTGATCATGTTTTTCTTTGCTAAATCCAAAGTGATGATTTTGTTTTAGAACTGGTTTGTCAATCAAACATACACTTGATCTGAATATTGCCAAGCTCTTTCTCTTCCATGAACAATAGCAGTACGATGTATAGGCGATAACAAGGATGTTTTCTTCTCTCCCACAACAGAAGTACGCTATATAGGCTATAACGAGGATGTTTTCCTGTCTTCCACAATAGCAGTACGATGTATAGGATATAACGTTTGCCTATTAGATTGTGTAATTATGTTCCATGTTCCACAATGGGAACATTTTACCAATTCTAAGTATTCACGAGAAAAATAAGATGAAATACATAATTTACCTCCCAAAAATTTAAGACGTTTGGGTAATTACAGGATATTTGTTAAGTACCCGTGGGAAAGAAATACGCACTAAAGAGAAGATATGCAGAAACATCTTCTGAATAATACGGTTTATAATATAGGCGTTAAGGTGCGGGTTGTTGGGCTGAGTCCGTTTGATCGACGCATAACTGTAAAAATTAAGAGTTTGCTGTTTAGTCAGTAGTTAAAAATTACTCTAAGTTGATTGATTATTGTGAAAAATTTATGCAAAAATATTATCCTTCTTTTCACAACGTCCGGTTGACGGCCATAGATACAAGAAGCTGGTGAAATTCCAGGATCAGGTAAGCCTGATGAGCCACTGGAAAAGCCATGAAATACTCGAGTATACACATATGTAGATGTTCAACTTTGAGAATAGTCTGATCCGCATTTTTAAGCAAGATATTTCATGGTCACCCATTGTTCACTAGTAAAATTGTATCTTAGCTTTTCTCAAAACAGTCCACGACATTGTATTATTCATAATTAATTCAAACTAGAACATAAAAAACAGACTCTATGGCTCGAATCGCATGAAAATAAACACAAAGAAAACTGTTATGGTACAAAGCAGCTGCCACCTAGTTCCTGGAATTATTGTGTAAGAAGAAAGTGCTTTGAGGACGAATGTGTTAATGTTCGTACAATATTGACCATGCGTGGTAGTCTAGCGTGTATAACCATCAACTAAACGTACGCATGACCTAGATACAGAATTTTAATTTCAGAACGTCCTGCGTTTCACGGAATTAGTTCCAAGTTCGATACTATTAAAAATACCGTCTTTGAAAAAGATACCAAGAATTTCAATTTAAAATATCATAACAAATCACGCTACTTTAAAATAGCTCAAATGAATTTAAACCGTTCTTCTTGATTTATTTTAATGTTCTAACATCATTCTACTTCTTTCTTTTGCATGTTCTTTCATGTTATCTGGTGAAAATAATTCAAAGTCCAGTCCTAAACGTTTTTGAAAAGCTTGAACACTAGTACATTGTTGTAACTTGTTATAGGCCTACATTTACAAACGATGCTAAGTGCACTATACTAACGTAAAAATCAACTTAATTGTACAAAGTAACTTAATTAGTTAATATGCGCGATAACTAACACAGATCCAAATACTTTACTAAAAGCGATAACACACTGACTGGTTCACTCCTCCGAATAGAAACAACTCTCTATCTTTTCGACTTTCTTCTCTAAACATCATATTTATAATCTACTCTAGAATTTACTAGAAAACTTGCCGTCAAATCTTTTGAGCTTTCTACGCCTATATTACTAAACCTTTTGATCTTAACGTCAACATCAGGACCCGCAGCTCCCTCTAGCTAACAAATACATAGAATCATTAAAAATATTGCTTAATGATTGTCGTTTGTTCGTAGTTAAGCACAAAGCTACACAATAGGCTATTGGTGCTCTGCACACCACGAGAATCAAAACCGAGTTTCTATCAATGGAAGTCCGCAGACACCGCTGTGACACTGAGGAGCTAACGATTGTAGTGTTACTTTTCTCTATACAGTGTTTATTTGAGATACTTGCATTTCATTGCTTTAAGAAGTAATTTGATTTAAAGATGAAAGGCTAACTATTAAAAAATTGTCATATAAACACTTTATAAAGACACACTTATAATACTGAAACTTTCATATTGAACATGCAATCATTCGTTTATAAATCTAATCTGTTAGTAAGGATAACTCTGATAAAGGTTTAACATATTATCTTTATTAACCTAGCCTGTTATTAAGCACAACTCTGTTAAAGGTTTAACATGTTCTCTTCATAAATATAGCCTGTTAGTAAGAACAACTCTGTTAAAGGTTTAACATATTCTCTTCATAAACCTAGTCTGTTAGTAAGAACAACTCTGTTAAAGGTTTAACATATTATCTTTATAAACCTAGCCTGTTAATAAGAACAACTCTGTTAAAGGTTTAACATGTTCTCTTCATAAATATAGCCTGTTAGTAAGAACAACTCTGTTAAAGGTTTAACATGTTCTCTTCATAAATATAGCCTGTTATTAAGCACAACTCTGATAAAAGTTTAACATATTATCTTCATAAACCTAGCCTGTTAGTGAGAACAACTCTGTTAAAGGTTTAACATATTATCTTTTAGGCAGATTTTGTTGAATAAGACCGATGTCTGTAGGTTTACTTTCTTCTTGGAAATCTTCTCAAGAAGTCAAAAAGCCGTTTTAACGTTGTTAGAACAACGAGCAAAAGTTGTAGATAGTGGTGAATTCAACAAAATCTGCCTACAAGAAAATCTATCACCAAAGTACATCAACATATTATCTTCATAAATATAGCCTGTTAGTAAGCACAACTCTGATAAAGTTTTCACATATTCTCTTTATAAATATAGCCTGTTAGTAAGGACAACTCTGATAAAGTTTTCACATATTCTCTCTACCCTGATAAAGTTCCACCTTCTTCTCTTTATTCTGAAACATTTTCGTCGTATTCTGTCTAATAGTTCTAACATATTCTCTCTACTCTGACAAAGTTTTGATGCATTCCTTCTACTCTGACACAGTTTGAGCATATTCTGTCTATTCTGACAAAGTTTTAGCATATTCTTTGTACCCTGATAAAGTTTTAGCGTATTTTCTCTTCCATTACAGTTGTTGGTTATATATTTTCACTACTAGCTTCGGTAGGCATAACTACCATCAATATGTCTGAGCGAAAATGTTATCTCTTTGTTATGTATTTAACAGTGATGGTACCCAACTAGTGAACTGATGCGTGTCAATCGTTAAAACTTAAGCTGGTATATTACATTATCTCCCTGATTTACTGGATTTATATTTAATTCTAATCTTTATAGGTAGTTTTTCTTGATCTGAAGTTAATGACAAACATCTAACATGTCTAATATGCTTCTTGACATTTTTGAAATAATCATTTCTAAAAGAAGTCTTGCATACATTGCGTCCACCAGGCGGCTGATAGATTAGTTGAAATGCCTCTCTCTCTAAACTTTAGTTTGTTTTGTACTGAAATTTTTCCTTGCTGACTTCATAATGTCTATATCAATGTTAGTGAAATTTCATTGGATTTAATGTTCATCTACGATAAATATACAGCTATAAATTATCGTAACATTTTTTTTGTTTTTTGTTTATATACAAACATTGGATCTTCCTATGAATGTTTTATTCACACATGTGAGAAGGGATGTTGAAATAACTTCCAGCGTGGACACATTTTTATCATAACAGTGTCTACTCTTTAGCAAGTGTTTGTTGTATTCTTTTGAGGGAAACGTTGCTAGTAGCAACAGACGAGAGAACGCAGACATATCTTTTTGGATCTAATGAAAGGTGAGACAACATGATTCTACATTTTCAACTTGTATCTAACGGAAGGTGTGACATGATTTTGCATTTTCCGTGTATATCTAACGGAAGGTGTAACAACATGATTTTACATTTTCCGCGTGTATCTAACGGAAGGTGTAACAACATGATTTTACTTTCACGCTGTATCTAACGGAAGATGTGACATGATTTTATATTTTCAGCTTGTATCTAACGGGAGGTGTGACATAATTTTACATTTTCGGCTTGTATCTAACGGAAGGTGTGACAACATGATTTTACATTTTCCGCTTGTATCTAATGGTTTGTTTGTTTGTTTAAAGTTAAACACAAAG